TATCAGAGAATACTAATCTGGTGTGTGCATGATTGTTTGTATCAGAGAACTAAAACTTGATGTGAGCATGAATGTTTGTATCAGAGAATACTTACTTGATGTGAGTATGTATATTTGTATCAAAGAATTCTTACGCGATGTGAGTATGTTTATTTGTATCGAAGAATTCTTACCCGATGTGAGTATGTATATTTGTATCAAAGAATTCTTACCCGATGTGGGTATGCATGTTATCAGAGAATACTAATCTGGTGTGTGCATGATTGTTTGTATCAGAGAACTAAAACTTGATGTGAGCATGAATGTTTGTATCAGAGAATACTTGCTCTATGTGAGCATGAATGTTTGTATCTGAGAATACTAACTTGATGTGAGTATGAATGTTTGTATCAGGTAATACTTACTTGATGTGAGCATGAATGTTTGTATCAGATAATACTTACTTGATGTGAGCATGAATGTTTGTATCAGAGAATACTTACTCTATGTGAGCATGAATGTTTGTATCTGAGAATACTAACTTGATGTGAGTATGAATGTTTGTATCAGAGAATATTTACGTGATGTGAGCATGAATGTTTCTATTTAAGAATACTAACTTGATGTGAGTATGAATGTTTGTATCAGAGAATACTTACTCGATGTGAGCATGAATGTTTGTATCTGAGAATACTAACTTGATGTGAGTATGAATGTTTGTATCAGAGAATACTTACGTGATGTGAGCATGAATGTTTGTATCTGAGAATACTAACTTGGTGTGTGTATAAATGTTTGTATCAGAGAAAACTTACTTGAAGTGTGTTTGAATGTTTGTATCAGAGTACTTAAACTTGATGTGAGCATGAATGTTTGTATCAGAGAACTAAAACTTGATGTGAGTATGTATATTTCCATCAGAGAATACTTACTCGATGTGATCATGAATGTTTGTATCAGAGAACTAAAACTTGATGGGGGCATGTATATTTCCATCAGAGAATACTTGCTTGATGTGAGCATGAATGTTTGTATCAGAGAATACCAACTTGATGTGAGTATGAATGTTTGTATCAGAGAAAGCTTACTTACTGTGGGTATAAATGTTTGTATCAGAGAAAACTTACTTGGTGTGAGTTTAAATGTTTGTATCAGAGAAAACTTACTCACTGTGGGTATAAATGTTTGTATCAGAGAAAACTTACTTGGTGTGAGTTTAAATGTTTATTTCAGAGAATACTAACTTGATGTGAGTATGAATGTTTGTATCAGAAAATACTTACTTGATGTGAGTATAAATGTTTGTATTAGAGAAAACTTACTTGGTGTGAGTATGTATATTTGTATCGGAGATTACTTACTTGATGTGAGTATGTATGTTTGTATAAGATCATAACTAGATGTACAATATACAATACATCAAAGAGGTCATAGCTTAAACTACACAAAGACAAACTAAGAAAAGTCACGATCAAAACATGAAGAGAACATAATAACACCAAAACAAAATGAAGAGAAACATTCATTTTATTTCCTACTTAGTAATGCAATTGAGGCTTTGACAAAGTCATCTTTTTCAATCACTATGATGTAACGTGTCTTTCCCTGGTTAGTTTTGTTAACTTTGAATACTTAATTCAACAATTATGTTTCAATTATATTGATTTATATGATACAGAAGATTGAGTTCATACCAATTAAATGTTATCGTGAATTTGAATTTTCTACACAGCATACTGACATTCCATGATATCTTATTAATATTTCAATAAACGAACTATCAAGATGTGTCATAATGCCTGGTGTGTTGTACATTTCCAACGTGTTTGTATTAAAACTAAGTTTATGGTTATATTGGATCGTACTTTGATTTTACAGTTTTAACGTATAAAACACGACCGCCCATGGGTTCTACCTCCTTTCCTCTTGATTATAAGGCAGGGAGATTATCACTGCGCTTACTGTCATTTTCGATCATTACCATATTTATATTTTTCTGCAACGTTGCTTGAAATCATTTCATAATACCTTATAAAGAATGTTACAGGTTTTTGTCCTTATGAAATAAGGAAAAACACCTCCGATTTTACAGGAAAATACTTTTTCAATTTAAATTCTTACTAAAGCAGTGATGAGACGCTCCGTCACCAATATCGCGGTAAAAATTATACTGAACATTTTTTTCTGGTTATTTAACTACAAATGTACAATGCAATCCGAAATCTAGAAATCATATCATCCAAAAGAAAATAGCGTTACAATAAAAAAAGTTGTGTTCACAGTCAGTTAAGCCGCTATTGTTTTTACTTGCTTTCTTATAGACATAAACGAGAATATCAGACTTAGTTTAACACTGTGTATACAAGTATTGATTTGACAAATTAAGATACATCGTAAATAACTAATTATCTAATATGAGAAGTTTTAAGATATAAAACAGTATGATTTTTGGTGTGTTTCTAAAGGTGAATCTATTTTCATCAAATATGTTGACTATGATATTCTGATGTGGAGTCCAAATAATCTACATATTAAAGCGACCACGCACAAGAACAAAAGCAAATCTCAAATTAGTTATTTCAAGACAGGAGCATGAACGAAAGTTACACCAGAATAATACAAAATGAAATTATTAAGATAACCTGCAATAAAATCAACTATAATGACAATGTATCGTCAAATATTATCACTCAAATCAATAGACAATACTCAGTATCAATATAATAGGTACCATAGCTCGTTCACCTCACGGGCCGTATGGACCTATACGGACACTCAAACAAATGAAAAGGTATTAAACAAGAAAACATAATATTCCTCCTTGAAGAAGGCAAAATAGGAAATGATATATTAAATTTTAAAACACAGGGTCGAACTATCAGTAAATGTTGAAGCCATCTAAGATAGAGATAGTTTCACACTGATAGTTTTAAGATTTTAGCAGTCGAGAAACATAACGACTTTTGACGGACTTTAAGACAAAATGTTTAATTATAAATTGTGTAAAATATCTTGAATACATTTCCAAAAGACGTTCATTCAAAGTCTTTCTGTTTCAATATACTTTCCTTTGTCACTATGATTATATAAATACTGGTTACCTTTATAACAGGACGTTTGGCATTGGGAAAGAAAGGATCTAACTTGTTAATCAAGCAATGACCAAAATATTACGCAGCAATTAAAACGCCAGGCTGTCTGTTCGTAAGAAATACGAGCATTCGTCGATAGCTCAAATAGCATTTTTTTTATTTTTTATTTTTAAGTTAATGTAATATTTCTATTCGTTAAAATACCCCCAGCCCCAGCCCNCTTATGACTGTACATTTGACGACATCAAATTAATCACACCAACTACATACGTTCATGCCGGCGAAATTAAATAATAAAGGAAACCGTTTATAGCGTTCATGTATGTTTAACACTGGATTTAAGACCAACAACGCACGCAGTGTTTTGTGTTTTGTGAGGTACAACAGCAGAATGATAAATGATCTTTAACAATGTACAAATACTTGAGCCAGTAATTACAACATTTCCGTTTTGTGTTAGACGGCATTACACGCTCGCCCGTACTTTAAATAGCGAATAGGACTATCCATCAAGTCGGTTATTGTTCTAAGGCAGTAATGGTTGGGGAAAGTTGATGGTCTTTGCGACAATGGTTTAGGGAGGTTGATAGTTGCTGCGACACTTAAGCGTCGTGTTAGAATCGTGACTTTCAAATAGAATTAAGGCTGAAGGTCAGAGTGACGATGTTCCTCAAGGAAAGCCTCGTTATGGCAAATGATGTATCACAAAATGCCACACCAAACATTGGCGTTAAACGAACTACGGAACAAGTTCGTTTAATTTCGTAAATTTCTTAAAAGATGTGACATTTTAATTTTAATGAAAATGGTTTGTTCTAATTGGCGTCTCATCTATGGACATTGGAGTGCTTCACACGTTCTATCGGTAACCCTACCAAAGGCCTTGATTAGTTTACTCGCTTTAATTCGGGTTGCAATTGCATTGCCATTAGCCTGCGCGAGTTACCAGGAAGTGTTTGGCAGTTGGCGTGCGTCAAGTTGCTCTCTAAAGCAACATCGGCCCAATCGCTATCCATTGCTGCATAATCACCTTCTTAAGCGAGTTGAAGTTAAACTATTGGGTGTAGTATACATGCAAATTCTGATTTATTGATAATTGAAAACATTACCTTTACATTAATTGGTTTAGTAAAAGGGGGGAATAGATTGTTATACCTTAACAAGATAGCTTTTAGAAAAAACGTCTCCAAACGTACATTTTGTACATAAAAAAAGATAATAAGGGGCCTTTTAAGACAATAAACACGTGCAAGCATATCAATTGTTCTATGTAACCTTATTGTAAGAAATGATGATTAATACACTTTATAATGAAATAAGTCTCCATATATACCATATTGAACCTTAAAACTATTTATTCATAAACTTATTGCAGCTCATACATACTATACATACAGTACGTATATATATATATATATTTATACATATATCACAAATTTAGTCTTTTTTCCTACTTTCAGTTATTTAAATGGCTGTAACATGAAAGCGTTTCTACCATAGAAGGCAGTAAGGTGAGCAACTCAAAACATGAAATTGGCAATATTTGATTGGCAACTGACAGCCTAGTGTCGTGTTCCTTGACAGTTTAACATATACAAGTGTATAATCAAATGTTTGTAATTTCAAAGATCGATATATGGTATACCACTAGCAAGTAAAACGTCTAAAACAGAGCTTCTCCCGGGCCTATCTCGGACAGATATATGATTCAGTCGAACGCTAGTGTATAAGATAACCGGAGGATTAGGAGAAACAATATTTAAATTGGATGTTCTTCTTTCAATTTCCCCGTTAAAGCCAACTCATCTGCATATGTTTTGGCAGCTGTCGTACGCTGTACTTTTAAAATGGCTCCGTTATCAAATTAAAGCATTCATTCTAAATACGATTTGATTCAATTGCCTACTAGTAAGGTTAGTGGTGACTTACCGTTTCCCTGGGGGCAAGAGGTGCCGGTGTGACGCGTCTGTCCGCCACGTCCGGATGTCCGGAAGCTGTATGTACCATACTAGAATTGTCCGGCTCCGACTGTTGGTCCGTTAGGGTCTTATGCATGACGATGAAGACGATGGCAAGACAGATGACGACGAGAATAAGGAAGACGTTCCAGAGACAACAACACTTCTCCCTTTTGGACCAGTAAGTCCCCCAGGAGTCGGAAGACAGGGAGCGAAGCGGCATCCTTTTAAGCCCATTGATACCGTCCGGGTCCCGGAACACAATTTGTCCGTCCTCTAGACCGGAACTACTATCCTCCGTATCCACGGTGTAGACCACGTATTTATCGGACGTCGGACTACCCGCGGGCATACTTGTCAGTGGTCAGTTCCGAGGTAACATATTCCCGGATTTTTTGTAACGTTATTCCTGACACACAACAAGATTACTCCACCCGATCTCCGGTCTGGCTGTAGTGTAACAAACCTATACTTGCCACACAATCGAATTACCTAAGCCGATAAGCAAGGATATCGTCCTGAATATTTCCTCATTTCAAGATTTTAAATTCCTATTTCGTTTGACATCAGTAAGACAGTCTTGGAGTAAAATCGAATAAGATCAAATTGAATTTATAGAAAGTCTGATAAAAGTCATATCTATCGATACAACCCCCAGAAATGGGGATAGAATTACAGCTTAAATATATAACTAAGGCTTGTTTGTCTTTAGCCCCAGGACGACATCACCTTGTTATGTGTTTTTAAGCAACGCATTATATAAATGAGATGTCAACATCGGCCAACTTGATGAATAACGACTAGGAATGTATTAAAGTTGTAAAAACTACACAAAACGGAACATGTCATTATGCTCCTGCATATCTGCCTTCTCCCGTTCGCTCTCCATGCGTAAAGGGCGTAGGATTTGACTGGCTTCGTTAGCAACCTCGTATGTATAGTAAGTTGTGTGCGAGGCCCATTATTCGACGTGAATACCAATGAGGCCCGCATCTTACTGCGGGAGATCGATGCTGTAATTGTATGGGAACTTCAGTTCTAGGCGATAATTTTTCAGGTAAATCATCCATTCCGGAGAACGGTCGGGTGTTTCTGCTTTATAATTACTGACGACTGAGAAGTCCATCACGGGTCAGCACATGACATGATGTACTTAGTCCATTTGCTGGACGGTCAGTCCATTTGATGGACGGTCAGTCCGGGCTGTAATAGCTAATAAAACACCAAATAAAATAAGTTCGCTCACACATCCTAACTGGTGCCAGTGTCCTTAGTGGCTCGCTCCCGGTATTCAATTAGCAAGGTGTTGGTCCCTGAACGAGATAAAAAGAATTTTCTTGTGCCCACACCGAATCACCTGCCCACCTGAGGCCCTATGCGTAGAACCATATAGTGGCGATGTAACTCTCGAAACATCAAATATTTATAAGTCATGGTTTCATGTCCTGTTGCAATTAGTTTTACGGTATATTTTCCCCTGTTGTATTACATCTAGAACATCCGGAAGAAAAAGAAATATTTTTTTTATTTCAATTGGTAAGAAAGAATTTAATCCCATCTGCTTTCATCTGTTTAAAGTTTACGCTTGCTCTCAATTTACACACAATTTGCAAAACGATAAACGGTGTCTTTCTTAAGAACCAATCAACGTTTTTTGAAACCATATATAGGCTTTCGTAGTACTTTTATCAATTACTGCTTGTAACTTTCCAGTGACATTTCCAAGTAATATATAAAAAAATCATTAAATTCCTAGCATGAACTTTTGACAATAAATTAATCCAAAATTTAACACCTCATTGGTAATATTGACTTTCGACTTTTCCTTTAGAAAACAAAGTCAGGGACAATTAACATTTTAGGCAAGACAGCAGGTTTGAAAGACAAACTAATGAAGAAAAGGGCTATTAAGACTGTCGATAGTCGATATAATTAATGGTTTGCAATAAAGATTCTTTCAACGAAAACTCCAATATGCGATATGAAGCACTAATCCTAATTAACGATTTAACAAAATACATTGTAAGTCCAAATATAGACACGTCTTTCTTATATGACACTTTGATTGTTTTTGCGTTAGTTTTTTTTATGTCTATTTGAACATTGAAAAACATCACTTTGTTGTTTTATGGTGCCTCTAAGGGGACACCACAGAAACTAAAACAAATCTACCTCCGCATTTTGGGATATTTTCTCACGTTGCTGATGTTTTTACCTTCTTGACGGTTTCTCCCCAGACACCACTCCTCTTAAACATTGGAGGCACCATTAAACCCCACGCAAAGGACGTTAAACCCCACACAAAGGACGTTAGACCCCACGCAAAGGACGTTAAACCCCACACAAAGGACGCTACACCCCACAGAAAGGACGTTTAACCCCACAAAAAGGACGTTAAACCCCTAACAAAGGACCTTAAACCCCACACAAAGGACGTTACACACCACGTAAAGGACGTTAAACCCCACCACGCAAAGGACGTAAAACTCCACACAAAGGACCTTAAACCCCACCACGCAAAGGACGTTAGACCCCACACAAAGGACGTTACACACCAGGCAAAGGACGTTAGACCCCACGCAAAGGACGTTAGACCCCACGCAAAGGACGTTAGACCCCACACAAAGGACGTTAGACCCCACGCAAAGGACGTTAGACCCCGCGCAAAGGACGTTAGACCCCACACAAAGGACGTTAGACCCCACACAAAGGACGTTAAACCCCACGCAAAGGACGAAAAACTCCCCACAAAGGACCTTAAACCCCACCACGCAAAGGACGTTAAACCCCACACAAAAGACCTTAAACCCCACACAAAGGACGTTAACCCCCACCACGCAAAGGACGTTAAACCCCACACAAAAGACCTTAAACCCCACACAAAGGACCTTAAACCCCACCACGCAAAGGACGTTAAACCCCACACAAAAGACCTTAAACCCCACACAAAGGACGTTAAACCCCACCACGCAAAGGACGTTAAACCCCACACAAAGGACGTTAAACCCCACGCAAAGGACGTAAAACTCCACACAAAGGACCTTAAACCCCACCACGCAAAGGACGTTAAACCACACACTAAGGACGTTAAACCCCACACAAAGGACGTTAAATCCCGGTTATCAAATTATTCGGTACTAAATGCGTGGTTATTGTGTCAAATTGTCGTTGGTACGACGCTGTTGAAAAGAAATATACCTCAACGTAAAACAACCAGGACAAAAAAATATTTCAATGTTTTTTACGAAAAGTCAACAACAAAAATCGAGGAGAAAAATCCCCAAAAGGTATGAAAGCACGACACCACTAACAAACACACACATGTACATCCTCCTACTCACATCCTCCCCTCACATCCTCCTACTCACATCCTCCTACACACATCCTCCTACTCACATTCTACTTACATTCTACTAACATCCTCCTACTCACATTCTCCTACTCACATCATTCTACTCACATCCTCTACTCACATTCTACTCACATCATTCTAATCACATCCTCCTACTCACATGCAACTTACATTCTACTCACATCTTCCTTCTCACAAACTCCTACTAATTTCCTTCTCCTCACATCCTCTTAATCACACACTCCTTCTCAAATCCTCCTACTGACATTCTCCTCACATCCTCCTAATCACGAACTCCTAATCACAAACTCCTACTCAGGTCCTCCTAATCACATTCTACTCACGTCCTCCTACTCCCATACTGCTATTCACATCCACCTACTCACATCCTTCTACTCACATCCTCCTACTCACATACTCCTACTCACATCATCCTACTCACATCCTTCTACTCACATCCTCCTACACACATCCTCCTACACACATTCTACTCACATATTCCTACTCACATACTCCTACTCACATCCTCCTACTCATATCTTCCTACTCACATACTCCTACTCACATCTTCCTTCTCACATCCTCTTACTCACATCATTCTACTCACATCCTCCTACTCACATCCTCCTACACAAATCCTTCTACTCACATTCTACTCATATCCTCCTAATCACATATTCCTACTCATGTCCTCTACTCACATCCTCCTACTCACATACTCTACTCACATCCTCTACTCACATCCTCAACTCACATCCTCCAACTGTCATCCTCTACTCACATCCTCTACTCACATACTCCTAATCACATACTCCTTTTCAAATCTTCCTACTCACATTCTACTCACATCCTCCTTATCACATTTTCCTACTCAGTTCCTCTACTCGCATACTCCTACTTACATCCTCTACCCACATCCTCCTACTCGCATACTCTACTCACATCCTCCTTCTCACTTCCCCTTCTCCTACTCACATCCTCTACTCACATCCTCTTTCTCACATCCTCCTACTCACATCCCTTTTCACATTCTACTCACATTCTCCTTTTCACATCCTCCTACTCAAACACTCCTACTCATATACTCCTACTTAAATACACCTACTCACATCATCTACTCACATACTCCTACTCACATCCTCTACTCACATCCTCCCACACACATCCGCTACTTACATTCTCCTATTCATATCCTCCTACTCAAATACACCTACTCACATCCTCTACTCATATACTCCTACTCACATCCTCTACTCACATTTTCTACTCACATACTCCTTCTCATGTCCTCTACTCACATACTCTTACTCACATTCTACTCACATACTCCTACTCACATCATCCTACTCACATCCTCTTCTCACATACTCCTACTCACATACTCCTACTCACATCCTCCTACTCACATCTTCTTCTCATATCCTCCTACTAGCATACTCCTACTCACATTCTTTACTCACATACGCCTTCTCACATCTTCTACTCACATACTCCTTCTCACATCCTCTATTCACATACTCCTACTCACATCATCTACTCATATACTTCTACTCACATTCTACTCACCTACTCCTACTCATATCCTCCTACTCACATCCTCTACTCATATCCTCCTACTCACATCCTCCTACTCAGATCCTATACTCACATACTCCTACTCACATCCTTCTACTCACATCCTACTACTCACATCCTCTACTCACATTCTCTACTCACATCCTCTACTCACATTCTCCTACTCACATCTTCCTTCTCACATACTCTTACTCAAATACTCGCGAAAATGCATATTTTTTATTAATTATTTAATATGTTTGTTTGTAAATAACTTAGTTATGAAGTGAGTTATAATGCGAATTGAGTTATTTCTATCCCCCTCCTAGCTTTGTATACCATGCTTTTGACGCAAGCACCCACGTACTCACACACGCAAACGCACGCATCTACGCACGCACACGCACATACGAGCATGCATTAATAATACGCTTCGTAGTGATGAACAATACCTGATTACACAATGATGTATTAGAAACAAAGCGAAGCTTATCTTGCTTTGTGTTCCACGCACGCACACACGTAACTACACAGGCAAAAAAACCGCACACGCGCATACGAGCATGCATTAATAATACGTGTGTTGCGCTTCGTAGTGATGAACAAAACCTGATTACACAATGATGTATTAAAACAAAGCGAAGCACTTTTACCGCCTATCTTGCTTTATGTTCCACGCACGCACACACGTACCTACACAAGCAAACAAACACACACGAACATAAACCATGTGTTTCAGAAAAAAACAAATGATAACAATTCCTTAACCACAAAAATCATCCGTAATCATGTTTCTAGTCAAACCAAGGTGTACGTCCCTTACATTTTTTACTGTACAGTTGTACTTATCATGATAAAAAACAAAAACGCGCTTTTAAAATGTTACGATGTCAACTTTAAGATGAATGAAGGATGTACCAAATCATACAAAAATACACGTATAGCTGATTCATTTAGTATTCAAAGGAAAC